CAGATACATTATTTAAGAAAATTACCACCCCCTTCTTCTTCATTCAAATGATTTTATTATAAGAACTGGCCCTGGCTTGGAAGACACCAGGCTATAAATTTAAAACAGACAAAGCTAAACAATATTATTTTATGGTCAAAAGATACATAATTGCTAAAGCATATGTCATATCATTACTACTAATAACAATAGTAAATATTTTTGTACGGACTTATTGAACCACTGACTTATTATGCTTATTAGCCTATACATTTCTCCAAATTATAATTTTGATAGTATTGCTTAAGGAACACAAGGGTCTGAAATTTTAGTGAGTAGTCTTTTTTTTTTAATCCCTAGAGATCCTCTGGTGCTCTGGTGGCTCAGTGGTTAAGAGTTTGGCTGCTAAACAAAAGGTCAGCGCTTCGAATCCAGCAGCTGCTCCCTGGAAACCCTATGGGGCAATTCTACTCTGTCCTACAGGGTTGCTACGAGTTGGAATCAACTTGACGGCAAAGGGGCAGAGCCTCTATCCTTTGAATTAAATATAAATCAAAGAGGAACACCATACTCTTCCTTATTAGATTTTAAGATTAGGGTTAACTAGAAAAATAATCTAGGCGAGCACAGCTATCACATTTAGTAAATTTCCAAATTTGTCCACTGTTTCTTCTCAATTATTGTAAAGATCACAGAACTCAGGCAGATGAGGAAGCATTTTAAACTACATTGAGTCCCTGGGTGATGCAAGCAGTTAACGCACGCTCAACTGTTAACCAAAAGGTTGGAGGTTCGAGTCCACCCAAAGGCATCTTTGAAGAAAAGCCTAGCGATCAACTCTCAGAACATCCACCATTGTATTTTTTAATGAGATGGAGAAACAAATAACCAACTTCATATCGAAAGGGAAGAGGCCCCAGATAAGTAAAGCATTACTCAAGAAGAAGAACAAAGTGGGAGGCCTCACACTAACTGATTTTAGAACCTATTATACTGCCACGGTAGTCAAAACAGCCCAGTACTGGTACAACAACATATACATAGACCAACGGAACAGAAATGAGAATACAGACATAAATTCATCCACCTATAAGCAGCTGATATTTGACAAAGGCCCAAAGTCCGTTAATTGGGGAAAAGTCTCTTTAACAAATGGGGCTGGCATAACTGGCTAACCATCTGTAAAAAACTGAAACAAGACCCATACCTCACATCATGCACAAAAACTAACTCAAAATGGATCAAAGGCCTAAATATACAATCAAAAACGATAAATATCATGGAAGAAAAAATATGGACAACACTAGGAGCCCTAACACATGGCATAAACAGAACACAAACCATAAGTAACAATGCACAAACACGAGAAGAGAAACTAGATAACTGGGAGCTCCTAAAAATCAAACACTTAGATGCTCATCAAAAGACGTCACCAAAAGAGTAAAAAGACAACCTACAGACTGGGAAAAAATTTTTGGCTACGACAAATCCATTCAGTGTCTAATCTCTAAAATCTACAAGATACTGCAAAACTTCAACAACAAAAAAGACAAATAACCCAATTAAAAAAGGGGCAAAGGATATGAACAGGCACTTCTCCAAAGAAGATATTCAGGTGGCTAACAGACACATGAAACAATGCTCACGATAATTAGCCATTAGAGAAATGCAAATCAAAACTACAATGAGATATCATCTTACCCCAACAAGGCTAGTATTAATCCAAAAAACACAAAATAATAAATGCTGGAGAGGTTGTGGAGAGACTAGAACACTTATATACTGTTGGCGGGAATGTAAAATGGTACATCTACTTTGGAAATTGATTTGGCGCTTCCTTAAAAAGCTAGAAATAGAAGTACCATACGATCCAGCTATCCCGCTCCTTGGAATATATCCTAGAGAAATAAGAGCCGTCACACAAATAGATACGTGCACACCCATGTTCATTGCAGCACTGTTCACGATAGCAAAAGGATGGAAACAATCTAGGTGCCCATCAATGGACGAATGGATAAACAAATTATGGTATATTCACACAATGGAATACTACGCAACAATAATGAACAACGATGAATCCGTGAAACATCTTATAACATGGAGGAATCTGTAAGGCATTATGCTGAGTGAATTTAGTCAGTCACAAAACGACAAATATTGTGTAAGACCACTATTACAAGAACTCAAGAAAAGGTTTAAA